CGCTGTCTGTGCCACTCTCACGCTGTCCGCACCACATCCCCGCCGTCTGCGCCGTCCGCACCGCGCCCGAGCCGTCCGCGCCGTCTGTGCACGCACCGGCCTTGCCAGACTGGGCGGCCACGCCACTCCGCGCCACCCCTGCCACTTTGCGCTGGCCCCTGCCGCCGCACCACGCCACCATGCTGCCGGGCCGCCGAGTCGTTGCGTCGCGCCGCCATGCCGTCGGACCGCCACGCCGCCACACCGCAGGGTTGCCGCACCGCCGAGCCGCCGTTTCGTCGTGTCGCTGTGCCGCCCTTACTCGCCGGCCCTGGTTCCCTCCTCTGCGCCGGCGCTTCCGCGGGCCGTCTTCACCGCCACTCTCCACCGCTCCCCACTGCTCTCTCTCCTCCTCCTCTCGCGGCGGTGCGCTGCTGCAGCCGTGGCGATGGCGGACGGATTGCTCTGCCTGGAAGCGGAGGGTCGGGCGATCGGCTTTGAAGCGTGGCTCGGCGACCTCCGCTGCTCGCTGAGGGGACAGCGCCAGGATGGCCAGTCTCTGGCTGTCCACGTCGATGGTAAGGTCCCCTACCCCGACCCGCCTACTGCCGTCTCTGACGCCCCCATGCCCGCTGAGCGTGAAGCCTTTGCTGGCCCTCTCTGACGCCCCCGCGCCGTTGAGCTTGCCCACTCTATCTGGGAGTCGCGTGACGGAGTCGCACGGCTTGCTATCAGTCGCGCCCTCCCCTTGTCTGATCACCCCTACTACTAGGCCCTAGAGATGCGCAGGAGTACTACTTAGATGCCGTCATTGCGAGTTATTCCACTCCCTCCTCCCCCTCTGCCGGCCGTCTTCTTCTCCACCTGCCTTTCGCTGAACTTGCGTCCTTTCCCACTTTCACTGATATCGCCACTCACCTGCGCGCGCTGTGGGCCAGCTACCGCGCTGCTAGCACTGAGGCTCAACTCTTTGTACTGCCTCCCCCCCTCGGCACTACCCTTTGCTTCCTTGCCACGCGCCTTCTTGACCACCTAGCCACTGCCCGCGACCATTTCCTTGGCCTCCACCCCACTGACCTCACCCTCGCTGACTTGATGACTACCCTATCCGCGATGAAGACCTGCCAGTGCACTATCGCTCAGTCGAGCAGTACTGCGGCGGTCCCTATCTTCCACGACTATGCTCCCTCCCAGTGCACTTACTGTGACATCTCTGCCACTGTTGCTGAGACGGCCTCTATTGCTGAGGCCGCAGCAGCGGCCTCAGCGTTGTCTCTGAGGAGCCTCTCGGCGTCATCCCCAGTGAACGACGCACGACAGATCGGCAGAAGAATGCCGCAGACGACCCAACCGCAGAGGAGCAGTCGTCCTCTTCTGGGGAGCCGTCGTCTTCTGCCAAAGTGCACTCTGCAGACGAAACGCATGTGGAGGTGCAACCCCTCCGGCGATCGACGCGCTCTAACAAAGGAGTTCTGCCGGTTCGTTATTGCGCAGCGTTGACGGCATTCTCGATGAACGCCCTCGACAGCAGAAGCGAAGACGTAACACTACCAGAGCTGGACTCTGCAGAAGATCGTGTGGCAGATCCGGAACGTCGTTGGGACATTTCGAAGATGCCTGTCCCTGTCGCTCTGAAGAGTTGGAAGGGCCCTGCGGTGAAGGCAGCAATGGACAAGGAGATGCTGACTCTGTGGGACCAAGGCACTTGGGACTTGGTTTTTCCACCCCAGGGCGTCAATGTGATGGGAAATTGATGGGTTCTTGCTACCAAGTATCTCCCTGACGATACGGTAGAACGAGATAAGGGACGTCTTGTCGTTCAAGGGTTTACACAGCTGCCCAATCTCGACTACGACTTGACATATGCTCCAGTCGGCAGCTATGTAACTGCTCTTCTGCATCTGCTCATAGCTGCGGCATTTGATTGGGAGCTGATGCAACTGCAGCACTGCAGCATACACCCCCAGACGCGAGCCATTCTCAGATCAGGTTTTTTGCCGAAGAGCATCTCGTACGGCGTGGTGCCCGATGGCAGAGAAGAATGCTCAAGGCGGTTCCGCACCCAGACCGCTTACAGAGCAGCAAGATGCCACCAATGGTGAGGAGCACCCATGTGCAGAAGCATAGTCCTCACACCCTCGACGACAGTCCGCATTTCGCGTTCTGCCATCCCGTTCTGCTGCGACGTGTAGGGACATGTAAGATCGTGCTCAATTCCCCACTCTTCGAGGAATTCTACGAATTGTCTGCCCAAAAATTCCCCTCCACGATCGGTGCGCAGAGCATTCAGTGTCGCCTCACATTGTCGTTCTTCTCTGGGAAGCCATTTCCGAAAGACGAGCAATGCGTCACTTTTCTGCGCGATTGGGTAGACCCAGACGTAGCGTGTCTTGCGGTCTTTGAGTAGAAGAAAGTAGCGGCTGTCATCCTTAGCGGGAACTCGGAAGGGCCCGCAGAAATCAACGTGCACTACTCCCAGCACTTTCTTCTCGTCACTCCCTTCTGCCGAAAAGCTATGCCGAGCGAGTTTGCCACCGAAGCAAGAGACACCCGGCAGATCAGTGCTCGGCGTTTTCTCAATGTCCAAGCCCGTAGCTGCTCCATGCACCTCAGTCCGCCGAATCGTCTCGACCCCAGCATGGGCCAGACGAGCATGCCACCCGTCCGTAGAGGAGCGTGCGTCAGTCGCCAATGTACGCAGAGCAATCGCTTCTGCCGCAGGCTTCTGCCGCGGCCATGGCTACAAATTGGTGCTGAGAACCCAGCCTTTGTATCGAGCCCACCCTAGCAGAATGTCGTCGGCAGAGAGCATGATAGTTTCCTCGCCAGTGTCCTTCAGCGTCACTCCGCAGTCCTTCAGCTGCCCGGCAGAAAGCAGATTGGCTTGGATTCCAGGGACGTAGAGTACATCTGGGACCAAAATCCTCTTCCCAGCCTCGCCAAGGAGAGCGATGGTTCCTCGTCCTCGAACAGCTTGGATGGCACCGTTAAATCCGCGAACTTGCTGGATTTCGCCGCCTTGCGTATTTTGACGAAGGCCTTGTCATCTCCCATGAGGTGGTGCGAACATCCACTATCTAGTAGAATGACTGCAGGATTGGCTTCTACAGCAGCTGTGATCGCCTAGAAGTCTTCGCCATTGGATCCAACGAGATGGGTTGATTGTCCGTCTTCAGCAATTCTACGATCGGCTCAACCATCGCACACGAGGGTCCTTTTCAATCAGCAGAACTAGAGCTCGCAGAAGAACCACCACTCTGCGCGCCAGAGGGTGGATTACTTTCCCACTTCTGCGAATGATCATCGTTCCTCTTGCCTCTGCGATCTGGGCACTAAGCAGCGAAGTGACCGATTTCACCGCAGACGAAACAGGGTTTATCCTTGTTCTTCTTGGCCGATTTCTTCTTGTCGTGTCGGCCGTCCTTCTGCTCTACGGCGGAGTCCTTCGTAGAAGAAGCCCATCGCATCTACTGCTGCTGCTGCCGAGGTGGTTGTCCCGTCGACGCCCAGTTCGATTGTGGCAGAGGAGACTCCTTGCGCTGCTCGATCGCAAGGGTAGATTCTTCCTCAACGATGTAGCTCGTCAGAGTGTTTTCGTCGAGGGTTTTCCGCACATCCGGAAACTTGATCATGCGCCGTAGATAGCTGTACAGCGACGGCAGACACTTGACGATGTGCGTCACCTAGGAATCCGTCGAGTACCGTACTCCGGTCATCCGCAGATTTGCCAGCAACTGCCGCGCACGGGTGCAGCAGGCGGTAGCAGTCTCGTACTCTGCCATCTCCAGACTTGCCAGACTCTGCTCCAACTGACCGATGTAGAGATCGTCAGTAGCCTTGTAAGTCTTCATGATGAAACGCCATGCTTGGTAGCCCGCACCCACTCGCAGACGACAACCCTTCAACGCCATCTTCACAGAAGGCGAGCAGCAACGCGAGATGACCATGAATGTCAGCAGCTGGGCAGAGCGGAACTGCCCGTACCGCGATGCATCCGACATAGGAGGGGCTTTCGTTGGCCCGTTGACAAATCGCCTCAGTTGCGCAATCTCCAGCTGAGGTTCTATGGACTCAACCCACGACGCCAGGTCGTGCCGTCCCTCAAGGAGCCTTGGCACTACGATTTTGTCAGGAGAAAACTTGAAGTAGCCGAATTCATGAGCAATCCCTCCAGCCTTCGAGGCTGTCAGTAAAAATGTAGTAGAGCCGTCGGCAGCGTTGTCTGCGCCGTCACGACCGCCAGAACGGCCTTCTTCAGCAGCACCCTTCTTCTTCGAGCTTGACTCCTTTGCAGGGTCCCTTCTGTCGCCCACGCTTGATCCTTCACCATTTGGCGTTTCTCCTTCTCGTAGAATACCGTGCGACTCTCGCACTCCGACTTCTGCCAAATCTTCCACGTTCTCCTTGTCTCGGGAGACTTCCACTGCACGTGCCCGCAGATGATCCATCTCCCATTGAGCTTGTAACCCCATCAGCATGAAGTTGAGCTCCTTCTCTGGGAGGTCTTCATAGCGGGCTATCAAGGCAGCCTCCTGCGCCTCGAGATCGTCGACCACCTCACGGACGTCCGACTTGCCGTCCGTCATATCGTCAATCGAGACCTTCTTCGAGACCTAACGTTGTAGATTTGACCTCTATCGTTCGCGTGTTCGTTCCACGCTCACCGCACCATGCAGAGTTTTCTGCTATAACGGGAGCTTCTGCGGAAGTGCCTGACGCAGATAGAGCTCTCTAGCTCTGAATTTCTCTGAGAAAGTTGCCTCCAGAATTGTGTGTTTCACAGAGTAGCTTGAGAAAGCTTAGGCACACAAATTCACTTGAATCAAGATTACAAAGTATGGTACACAAGGCAAACACTAGTACTACCCCATTGAACCTCATTGAACACGGCGAGAACGTTCGCACAAGAACTTTTACATAACTACTTTAAGCTGCGCTTAGCCAAGTCAGCAATGGCATGTGAAAATTACAACACATGCTTAGTTGGTAATTTTTACCCACTTAGAAGTAGTTATTCTAAC